GCTTAGGCTCGGGAGGGCTGTGCCCCAGAACCCCAGCGTGCATCTGACAGGAGGCTTTTTGCCTCTCTCCGGACAGCAGCTGAGGAGCTGTCTCCAAACCCTGACTTGAGCAAAGTCTGAAGCCTGCAGGAGCCCAGAGCGGGACTGGGAGGCGCCCTGACCTTGATCTGTGAGAACAGAACATGCACTTGGAGCGATCTTGGAGGATCCTTTGGGAAAGATGAGGCCTTGAACTCTGCAGGGATGAGGCTGTTTGGTAGAGGTGGGAGGAGGCCCTTAGCCTCATGTCAGTCCCACAGCTCCTCCAGTGTCTCTTCCCTTCTACTGGTGACTTAGACACTTTCAAAGGAACATCTTTTCTATTACTATTATTCATACATTCAATTGCTATACATCATTTAAATTGTGAAGAGACTTTATCCAGCATCATATACACCTCAGTCCAGCCTAGTTGAGACTATTAATGCACATCCTCATCAACATCAACAAATAATAAACCTTATCTGTGTCCCACAAGTGTCTTCTCCATTTCCCCCAAAATTTCCTACACTTTTCCTCTCTCATACTCTTTCCACTTTGTCTCTAGTATCCATTACAACTTTGAATACTTTTATGTTCTCCAGTCTTTCAGTCTCTACCATAGAGTCTGGACAGTTGGTATATGTTAAGTGGAGACATACAGTGTCTCTCTTTCATAGCCTGACTTGCTTCACTCAGCAACAAATCTTCCATATTCATCCACTTTCAAATTCCAGGGCCTTGTTTTTTTATGGCTGAATAGTATTCCATGGAGAATATGTGCCACAATTTTTGAATCCATTCATCTGTTTGTGGACATTTCAGTTTGTTCAGTGTCTTAGCAATTATCAATAATGCTTTAATGAAAATGGTTGGGCAAGCGCTTTTCCGACTGAGTGCTCTACTGACCTTTGGGTAGATACCCAGGAGTGGAATTGCTGGATCATATGGTAGTTCTATTTGAAGGTCTTTGAGAAACCTCCAAATCATTCTCCACAGTGGTTAGACCAATTTACCTTCCCACCAACAGTGTAGGAGTGTACCCCTTTCACCACATCCCCTCCAACAATTATCATTATTTGTTTTTTTTTTAATTTTCGCCATCCTGACTGGGGTTAGGTAGTATCTCCTTGTGTTTTGATGTGCATCTCCCTTACAATGAAAAGTGTTGAACATTTTTTTCATATGTTTTTTGGCTGTTCCCATGTCTTCTTAGGTAGTTGTTCATTCAGCTCATTTTCCCATCTTTTAATTGGGTTAATCATTTTCTTCTGGGTAAGCTGCTTGAGTTTCCTGTGTATTCTGGTTATCAGTCCCTTAACTGAGGCAGTTAACAAAAATTCTCTCCCATTCCAAGAGTTGTCAGTTCACAATAATTACTGTGTCCTTTGCTGTGCAGACACTCTTTAATCTGATGTAATTCCACCTGTCTATTTGGGCGATTACTCCCTGTGCTTTGGGGTCTTGCTGAAGAAGTCTTTGCCTACTCCAATGTCTCCCAGAGTTTCTCCAGTGTTTTCCACTAGCAGTTTTATAGTTTGTGGCCTTAGGTTTAGATCTTTGATCCACTCTGAGTTGATTTTTATTAGTGGTGACAGATAGGGGTTCAGATTCATCTTTCTGAGGTGGATACCCAGTTTTTCCAATACCATTTGCTAAAGAGGTTTCCTTTTTCCCAGTGGATTGACTGGTATCCTTTGTTAAAGATGAGTTGGCTGTATGTTTTTGGGTTTATTTCTGGAGTCTATACTCTGTTCCATTGGTCCTCATATCTATTGTTGTGTCAAGATTATTACAGCTTTATAATATATTTTGGGATCAGGAAGTGAGATGCCACCTACTCCAGTCTTCTTGCGCAGGGTGGCTTTAGCAAAACGGAGTCTTTTATGGTTCCAGACAAAATCTATAATTGCCTTTTCTAGATCTGGGAAGAATGTCTCTTGTAATTTTATAGGGATTGCATTAAACATGTAGATTAATTTGGGTAGGATTGCCATTTTGATTATATTGATTCTGCCAATCCAGGAACATGGTATGTCCTTGTAATTTTAAGTGATCAATCAGAGATCTTCAGATCTTTTTGTTGTTGTTGTTGCTCCCCACCCCCTCATTGGCTCCTGCACTTTTTGCTAATTTTTCTCTCTTCTCTCCTCTTCTCCCAGCTCATTTCGCTACTTCACTTCAAGAGCTCTAAATCCAAGTACATGCCATGAGTCTTTCTCTGTACTCCAGCTCAGCTGTTGCATGACAGTTCTTCCCAGCTTCCTTTCATCATTCATCACAAAGCAGCAGAAGAGGTTGAATCTGCTGCTAATGATAAACATGAAATTAGGAAAGGCTTCATGGAAAAGGCTATGTTTTATTTCTGCAGGTAGTTGTGGGATTAATTCACATTTAAGAAAGAGAAAATCACATGTGAAAAGGCATGGAGAATTTCATCTTACATTAAAATCAGAGGTTGCTTAATAAATGTGTGTTAATCCTCGGTTCTTTCCC